ATGTTAAAGTTTAAGATTCCGCAGCATTAAAGAAAATCCTTCTCTGCAGGCTCGATTTGGAAGCCGGTTTCTTTTCGATTACTGCAGAAAACCACCGGATTAAGACTGAATTTAGGGACTTTCTACAGGTCTGGTGATGTTGAATCTTAAAGGCAGTATGTTCATGAAGGCTAAGTCCTGGTGCATTTCAGCGCTCTGTACGACCCTGTTGGATTTGTTGGAAGTGCAATGTCTGGTCTGCTACCAATCAGCATTGAGAGTGAAGGTCACCAGCTCAGCTCCTGGTTTGTGCTGAGTTTGTTGATTTCAACCAGGGTGGAAGTTAATGAACTGCTACACTTGGCCTCAACTCTTTTCCATCCTTCTTGTGTTTTCTGTGGCCTTTGCTGTGAAAATAGATTTGAGTTGGCGTCAACCTTCAGTCAGCTTTTCCTGGCCTTTTCCTATGCCGTCTACTAACAGGCATCACGGAGTTGATTGCCCCAACCAGGATTTGGTCTTAATACCTTCTTTAGCCATGGTTTCCCCCAGTCAGAAGCTTCTCAACCAAATCTTCCGCAAGTGAACCTTTTCCATCTAGGTCACTATTGTGTTGTATGGGACTCCACAATGATTGTTTCTGTGACCAGTCTGTTTCCCACAGTTTGTGCAGTGAGTCACTTTGCCATATTATGCCTTTTTCCATCAGCAGACACCATGTCTTGTTTGTTCACAAACTCTCGCTGGTTTTCCTGGAATTGATTAGCAACTAGGATATATCTTATTATAAATAATCCTTTGATGTTGACATAACGTCTTTCACGTCAGGAGGATGTCTGAAAGCACTTCACAGGTTATACAGTGAAGTGTAGTGAATATGTATCTTGTGGGCGAACATGGCAGCCAATTTAGCACAGCAATGTCTCACAAACAACCATGAAGTGAATGACCAATATTATTTGGGAGATTGTTGAACAGGACACCGGGAGAAAATATGAAAGATATAGGCTTGAATGGGTAAGGGATGAAGCAGGGCAGTGGGATTGAATAAACACCTTGCTCTGAGAGCTGGTGGAGACTCGATGGACCGAACGGCTTCCTACTGTGCTGTAAAGTTCTGTAATTCTGTACATCATATACCTCAATATATATTAGCGACCAGACGTGTATCACGCCAACCCTCGTGGTCTCCACCTTGATACATCCAGAAACTCTGCCTGTTTAGATGGACATTAAGAATCCAGTAGCACAGAGAAGGGAGTTTCTCCCAGTATCGTGGTCAAACATCCTACAGATAAGATTGGTCATACACTCCATAGTTATTTGTGGGACATTGTTGAATGTAAATTGGTTGTTGGATTTACCTATGAAATACAGTCATTACAATTTACAGTATATCGCATGAAGCACTTTTAAGATCCCACTACTCATGTGAAAGGTGCTATATGAAAGACAATGATTATTTCTCGGTGGGATGGGTTCAAACGTAGGGTGCGTCTGGAAAGGCTTAACTCTGGGATATAGGTCACTGTTGGGAGGTTGTTTCAGTATTTCCTCTGATTTTATTTTTAAACATTAAGGAAATGCATCTGCTGTGAACAAAGTGGGATCTGACCACAACACCACAATGTACCATGAGACTGAGCAGTGGTATAATTGAGAAGGGATGAAAAAAGGTTTTGATTTCCCTAGTTAACTCTCCTCTGTGTAGACATTTGGCATCGCCGCTCGTAAAGTTTTCATGGAGTTACAAGAATAGGGTTGATCTTGAACTGAATAAAATAAATCTGACCTTTAAGAACAGGAGATTACATTGGGAAATTGGCATTGGCTTTCATTTCCTTTCATGTTGTGCCTTGCCCAATGGAGTTTACTCGTGAAATTTTCCACCACGCTTTCAGTCACTGTCCTCCCGTTGGTTGTGAGTGAAAAGACTGATGGAACAAAATATAATAATAATTGTTGAATATGATATAGCGTATTGAAGAGTAGAGGCTGATTTCCATTTTTAAAAAAAACCATTCAGTCCAACCCCGTTATAACGCAGCATTTTGGTTACTTATAATAACAGCAACACTAAATTGCGAACCCGCCATCCCAATCCTCACCACTGGCTCCCCATCTCTGAAGGGATCGACTGGAGGGACCTTACCCTCACATTTAAATCCTTCATGCACCTACCTCCCTATCTCTCCGACCCGCTCACACTCCCTTCCTATACCTGCTCTCGTCGCTCAGTTACCATCGACCCATTCCACGTCATCATCAGTGGCTGTGTCATTTGTTCATTATTTCCCTCACCTCTGGAACACTCTCCCTGGTATCCCTCTTCCGCTCCCATCTCACTTTAAACCCTGCCTTAAATTAAGACGACGACAACAACAAATTATATTTGTATAGCGCCTTGCATGCCAGGAGGACATCACAAGACCCACCTCTTTGACCTTACCTATGTCATCTCCTTCTCCTTTGCTGGGCGTCCAGTCCCATCCCTGTGAAGTGCTCCGAGATGATATCTACGTGAAGGGCACTGCATAAATGCAAGCTGTTGGTGCTTAAAATAAGACCCTACATTATAACAGCTCCGCAAATTCAAATTGGCCGTTGGTCCATTGGTTCGTCGTGTCATTACTGATGTCACGTCCGCCTGCCAGCATCGACTGCCAGCACAGCAATTTGGCCAGTCAGTGCCAGTAACCAGATATGTACTGCACTGTCAGTGTAGTGCGGGTCCATAAGGTATCACTCAGCTCAACAGCAACGACAAATTACATTTTTGTGACTCGAGCTATAACTAGCCGTATTGAATAAAAATAAACAATAATTATCCTGACATTTGATACAATGCCTTGTATGTTGGCCGGATGTCTCAAAGGATTTCACAGGATTTACTGTAAAGTGTAGTGACTGTGCATTTGGCAGGCGATTGTCATCACGGGATCATTAACACTTAGGTATACAGGAAAGTAAACCAAGATTTCAGCGATAACATGCTTAGCTTGTGCTTCTGTTGAAGCTGAGGTTAATTAGAATGATTGTGCTTTGCCAAGAATTAAGCAGAAAAGATATTCTGCAAGTAATTAAAGTGCAACTAAATACAGGCACAGTGTAAGTTAGACCATTTTATGCTTAAAGTACACAACAGAATCTTGCTCATATATATATATATTAATCCTTGCATTTGATATAGCGCCTTCTCACATCTTTGAAACATCTCAAAGTACTTCACAGAATATAGTGTAAATTGAGTTGACTGTATATTTTGTGGCAATATGTATATAAATTTCACATGGAAAAAATGTCTTGAAGCATTCTAGCTGGAAATTGATATCTAAAAGTAAGAGAAGAAGCTGGGGATGTTTACACTTTGCTGGGTCAATATTCTGGGAGAGGCCGTGGGGTCAAAGTCCCAAAGTGGGTTTTGACTCAGAGTCGAGAGTGTTACTGACTGAGTGGCAGATCCCTTTCAGTTTTTTTGCCTTGCATTTCTCAAAATGTCCGTCACGTTGGGAGGGTGTCTTTAAAGGGCTTTACAAGATTTATTATAAAGTGTAGTGATTGTGCATTTTGTAGGCGAACATGGTGCTCAGTTTGTGCACAGTGATGTCACGCAAGCAACCACGTTGTGAATGGCCAAATTTATCTTGGGGTTTGTTGGCCAGGCTTTTCAAATAGTGCCTTGGGATCTGTAATGTCTACTCAAGGAGGCACGTGGGACCTTGTTTAATCCAAAGAACGACATCTCCAATAATGCAGCACTCCTCCAACACTGCGTAAGAGTGTCATCATAGACTGAGAGCTCATATCCTGATTTGAACCCACAAGTAACTCAGATGTGAGAATGCTACCAATTGGTACCTATGCGATTTCTATTATAAATTGGCAGCATTACGTGCTTTGTACCAGGTAATTTGAATCTAAAATTATATACAGCGGAGGACTGAAACTAATATTTTATTTCTGGAAAAAATATTGATAACTAATACTAACAACACCCAAACAACCACTTCCATTCATAGAGAATCCTTCACGTAGGTTAGTGTCTTGGAGTGTTTAATTGTGGCAGAGCTTGATAGCAAGCCAGGTAGAGGGGCGAGGTGACCTTAGGCACAGTCAAAGAGGAAGGTCTTCAGATGCGATCTGAAAATAGACAAGGAAGGGGCAAGGCGGTGGATTTGAAGCAGAGAGTTGCAAAGTTTTGGGGCAAAGTGGGTAAAAGCACGGCCACCGATGATGGAGCAGAAATCGATACGTTCTGCAATAGGGAACCCGTGGAGCCAAGGACTGGGGTGATGGGAGCGTGGAGTACTGCTTAGCAGTTTGTTACAGGTACAGGTCAAGGTTAGTGACAGGGATTCAGAGTTCAAGAAAGAAAGTCAGGGAGGTAAAGTCAGAGAGAGTGGCAGACAGAGACAGATAAAGGGTGATAAAGAAAAATTCAGACAAACTGGAATAGAAAGTTGGAGAAAGAGAGAGTGAGAGAGAAAAGGAGAGTGAAGGAATACAAGCAACAACACAAAATTACATTTGTATAGCATCTTTCACATTGGTAGGACGTCCCAAAGAGTTGGATTAACGTGACAATATGACTCTGGATGAAGTAGTTGATGATTATTGCAGCCAATTTGTATTTTGTATGGTGACCCGTTACTCACACTGCCCCCATATCCACATTAAGGCTGTGCCCAATTTGTGTGGATAATGGGCTATCTGGTGTATTTAATAATAATAATCCTTGCATTTGATATAGCGCTTTTCACGTCGGGAGGACGTCCCAAAGCGCTTCACAGAATATACTGTAAAGTGAATTGACTGTATATTTGAGGGCGAATGCGGCAGCCAAATGCGCACAGCAATGTCCCACAAACAGTCGTAGCTTGAAAATGACCAATTTATTATTGTTTTAAATATTGTTTTAATAGCTAGACCAATTCATTCAAACGTGCAGTGAGTACTTAATCCCATTTCCTTAGTTAAGTCTGTGTTTTTGTAACTGCTCCTTTCTGTTTCCTCTAATTTAGTGTGACAATAGTCTCGACGACATCAGCTACACACCAGCCCCTTGTGTATGTCCCCCAGGGCCCGCTGGACCTCGAGGTCCAAAGGTAAGAACTGTCTTTACTTCCAAACGTTTACAATGTGGCTCGCCGTAAAACTGCCTCAGAGAAATTCACTTGGACTTGCTTAAGTGACATTAAGTTGGAATTTGGCAAGCAGCACTGATTGTTATACACTTGGCCCGGAATCACATCTGTAACTGCCTGGAAAGCAATTGTGGTTATTTAGTTTTTTCACATAGGAATTTTTAGTACAGGAAAGACAAATTAGGCTCAATAAGTATGTAGTTTTCAATTCCCCCTCATCCCACTCTTATTCTAATTTGCCCCCCTACCCCCTTCTCTTACCGCTCACCATCTGTTTTCTCATCGTATCTCCCAAGAAATCTCTGCATCTAATGCTATGTTCAGTTTCCCCTTATGCACTCATCTCTCGTTCCCAATGCTGACTCTGTCCCAATGCCTTGTGGGGGCCTGGCTGGAGGGGGTGCCTGGCTGGAGGGAGGGTGCCTGGCTGGAGGGAGGGTGCCTGGCTGGAGGGGGGGTGCCTGGCTGGAGGGGGGTGCCTGGCTGGAGGGAGGGTGCTGGCTGGAGGGAGGGGCTGGCTGGAGGGAGGGGGCCTGGCTGGAGGGAGGGGGCCTGGCTGGAGGGAGGGGATGCTGGCTGGAGGGAGGGTGCTGGCTGGAGGGGGGGTGCTGGCTGGAGGGAGGGTGCTGGCTGGAGGGGGGCTGCTGGCTGGGGTGGGGAGCAGATGGCTGAGACACTCACAAACCTGCTATTCACAACATCAAGTTGCATTTATGGGTCATGGGTTTGCACCCATGTGGGGGTTGGATTCAGGAGGGATGTAGGCTAAGGGGTTTGGGTGGGGGGAGATGACCAAAGGCCTGGTCAAGCAGGAAGGTCTTGAGACAGGCTTTGAAGGAGGCTAGGGGAGGAGGGAGGTGAAGGTTCTCTGGGATGGAGTTCCAAAGAGTGGTGACAGAAAGGAGGGGCAGAAATAGCAGTGGGTGGCAGAGGGGAGGGCATGAAGCACACCAGTGCCCACCAAGGCACTTTAATCACATTTTCTCTCTCTACAATAATTATCACATGTTAATTAATGAAATGTGATCTACCAGCTAATAATAATAATCCTTACATTTGGTATGGCGCCTTTCATGTCAGAACGACGTCCCAAAGCGCTTCACGGGACATAACGTGAAATGCAGTGACTTTGTGTATGTTGTTAATATAGCCTCTGTTCAAATCATTACTTCAGTGTGAAAGTATGAGTGATTGAGTGCTTGCTAGTCATAATCACAGAATCTCTAGTGGTTCCTGGCACTAAAACCAGCTTTATTGACCTCACTGATGTCCATTAAAACAGTGACCCTGCACTTGATTGGTGTCAGAATAGATTTTAAATCACTTTCTGTGAAATGAATCAGGCCCTTTACAGCCACTTAAGTTTAATACAACATCTTTCATGTGGGATCATGTTTCAAAGCCCTTTAGAGAGATGGAATGGATCAACCAGCAAGGTGGGAAAGTGGGTTGTGGGGTGGTGGTTGTGAAGATGGTAACTGAAACAGCATGGTCAAACAAAGTTATTTAGGAGGGTTTGTAGAGGCAGAAGAGCTGAGCAGAAGGTAATAGATTTTATTGATAATAATAGTGATAATCCTTGCCTTGGATATAGTGCTTTTCACATTGGGAGGACTGCTCAAAGCGCTTCACATAAGGCTGAAGGTCTGGATATCGATGGTTGGAAGGAGGGAGTAATGAGTACGAGATCAAAATTACTCTCCGTTGAAACAAATTCACTGTATATTTCTTATGTATAATGGTGGATTGGTATTCATTTATTTTGACAGAATATTTGGCATAGATGTTTGAAAAGTGGTTTCTTTTTAAGAGCTTATAAAATGTGCAACAGCTGTACTGTATTGCCAGTATCCAGGTAGATGGTTACTGGGAATTGTGGTTGAAGCCAGTTAGAGGAAGATTGATGTTCTGATGGGAGCATGGGTGTTCTGGACGGGTGAGATCAAATCGGCCGAAGGACCTTCTTCATCCAAAATCTTCGTGTTTCACTTGTCCAGCGATATGGACTCCCATCCTCAGTAGAGAAATGTGCCCCTATTCCCTCAAATTTTACAAGCGCTTAGTGCCCAATCTGTTTGTTTTCCAGCCCTAGATTCCAGGACTCTTGCGCAAAGTTTGCTAACAATTCAGTTAATGTATTCCGTTGACTGTTCTGCCGAAGGTCATTACGCTCGAGGTGAAGCTTTATTGGAAGGAGATAGAGAAGCGGGTGTGCTTTTTTTGGCAGTGGCTGACAGTGCAGCACATTGTTTCTATTACAGAAACTTCCTGCACTGTGCCTTCTGTGTTTTATTGTTTCTGAATGTGTCGCTGCACTGAACCGACCACGTGGTTCGCTCGTATTTTCAACAGTTGAGTTTCGTGTCTCCTTTAGTTGCAAGCAACTCTTCATTCTTGGTGAAGCTGTAAGAGTTATAAACAGAACAAACAGCACTTCTTCCCATTTCAGCTAAACACAACGAGAGAGCTGTCCCATTGTGTGGCACATTGTATCTGAAAAGATCTTTCACTACAAGAGTATAGGAACAGAATCACTGTGTGTTTACTGAGCTTAGTGTTTGGTATAAGAAGGTGTGGTTCAAGCACCACACTGGGACTTTGAGCGCAGATAGTTTAGCCTGGCACTCCAATACAGTGCTGGAGGAGAGCTGCATTGTCAGAGGTGCTGTCTTTCTGATGACACAACAACGTCTTTCATTTATGTAGCGACCTTCATACGAGGTAGTGTCCCGGAGAGTTCACAGTGGCGGAGTCTGACACTGAGTCAAGGGGAGAGGGAGTGGGGAGGTGACTGTAAACACAATCAAAAAGGAAGACATTAACAGAGACATTAAAACTGGGGTCCCAGTCACCTGTTCAGGTGGGTGATAAAGAGAAATGAATTTCTCTCAGTTTCCTGGCCACCAATTTCCCAGATAAATTATTATTTTACTTCACAAATTGGCTGCCACGTTTGCCTACAAAATACACAGTGGCTACACTTTACAGTTCATCCTGTGAAGTACTTTGCGACATCATCCCATGTGATATTAAATGCAATGATTATTTATGTTATTTATTAATTTAATGTTGCCTTTGGTTTGCTACAGGGAGAGAGTGGACAACCTGGGGTGTTCGGCGAGCCTGGAATACCTGGTACAGACGGTAAGCCTGTGAGTACTGAATGGTTTACTCACCTATATCTGAATAAAAACTCACCTGACATTATTTTTATGCTGTTCCATATTATTTTCCAATGGTGAACTCACTTTGGTAGTCTTCCTCCAGTGCTTCCCCACCATATTCTGGCTCTTCAAAAATGCGAGGGTTAAAATTATCAGTCTCGGACAAAGAAAATTCCAAATGACATGAAAATGAAATAAAAAACAATAAAAAAAATCACGGCGAGTCAGCCAGCTCTGGAGACTTCCTAGAACGTGCCTTCAGATATGGTGTGACTTGGAGTTCTAGCGCTTTCTTATTTTATTGCAGTGCTAATATCATATTTGCTGGAGGAAAAATGGGTGACAAAATAACCAGAGAAAAGTAGCAAAGTGAGTTTACCATTAGAGAATAGCACAGCATGAAAAACAGGTCATGTGTTGCAAATGCTGCATTGATCAGCAGCTATGGAGTTTCTTTCAAGGGCATCTCTGACTGGCAATACAGTTTACATTTATACGGCGCCTTTCTCGTTGGGAGGACATCTCAAAGTGTTTTACACTGCTGCCAGTGTACTCGGGCTGGGGAGAGGGGAGCTGAAGAGGGTGGGGAGGGGAGTGCAGTGCTGAGTCAGCAGATGGGAGGCAAAGTACTAATATTAAAAGCAGGACTCCTCACAGACCAGCTACCCAATTGGAGTGGTGACATTGTGCTTTAAACACCAGTACTTTGACAATAATCAGGGCGTTTTAAGGCACAGACCTCAATGTTCTCTTTTTCCAATATTGCTAACCTTAACGTGTTAAATCCCAATGGTACAATTTTCAATTACATATGCATTGCAATTCTAAATTTGTAGTGAGCCAAGTTAAAACGTTGCCTTGATGTGATGTTTGCCAGATTGTTTTATGATTCTATCCCCAGAAGGTAATGAATTTTACGATTGAAGTCTCAGAAATGTTGCATAAGCCAAACTCTTGCACAACTGTGTCTCTTGCACTCTTGTGTCTTTCTATTCATAGGTGTAACTTATTGGTTAGAGCACTTGCCTCTCAAATCAGAGAACCCGGGTTCGATTTCCGAGCAGGCTAAAACCTTAGGGAAGTTTCCTTTCTGCGCATGCCTCTGTTTACCTAGCAGTAAGCAGGAACCCTGTTGTTAGTCAATTGGCGAATCACATTCTGGGGGTAATAGTCCCTTTAAATTTTTTTTATAATAAATTGGTTTTTCGATCCACAACCGTTTGTGGGACACTGCTGTGCACAATTGGCTGCAGCGTTTCTCCCACAAAATATCAAATCAATTTACTTTACAATAAATTCTGTGACGCACTCTGGGTTCCCCAAGCACTTTGGGATGACTGACCTGGATTCAGTTCTGGGCACCGCACTTTAGGGAAGATGTTAGGGCATTGAAGAGGGTCCAAAGGAGGTTTACCGGGATGGTACCAGGAATGAAGGACCTTAGTTATGAGGAGAGGTTAGCGAAACTAGGATTATTCTCCCTAGAGCAGAGAAGATTAAGAGGGGATTTAATAGAGGTTTTCAAAATCATGAGAGGATTTGATAGGTTGAACCGGGAAAAACTGTTTCTACTGGCGTGTGGGTCAGTAACCCGAGGACACCGATTTCAGTTAGTTGTTAAAAGAAACAGAGGGGATGTTAGGAAGGATGTTTTCACACAGCGAGTTGTTCAGATCTGGAATGCATTACCTGAAAGTGTAGTGAAAGCTGATTCAATAACAACTTTTAAGAGAAAAGTACAACAATAACAAGTTTACATTTGTACAGTACCTTTCATGTTGGGAGGATGTCCCAAAGTAGAAAGCGAGCCAGAGGGATTGAGTTGGATTGCTCTTTTCGGAGCCGACACAGACATAATAATAATCCTTGCATTTGATATAGCGCTTTTCACGTCGGGAGGACGTCCCAAAGCGCTTCACAGAATAGACTGTAAAGTGAATTGACTGTATATTTGTGGGCGAACGCGGCAGCCAATTGCGCACAGCAATGTCCCACAAACAGTCGTAGATTGAAAATGACCAATTTTTATTATTGTTTTTGTTTTTTTTGGAGGGATTATTATTAGGCGTGTGGAGTAAGGAAACTTGCCCAAGGTTTCGCCCTGCCGGGAATTGAACTCAGGTCTCTCACTTGCAAAGCGAGTGCTCTAACCACTGAGCTACAGGACTCCACAGGACATAATGGGTTGATTGACCTCTTTCTTTCCTGTATGATTCTATGACTCAATGGCATGATAAGGCGTAATATCGAATGCAAGGATTATTATTATTATTACATTGATTGGTTCCACAGTCCCTTGATGTCACTCATGCCTCCATCACATCCAGGCTCGATTATTGCAACTCCCTGCTTGCTGGACATCTCAGCTCCTCCCTTCCCAAGCTACAGACCATCCAGACCTCTGCAATCCATGTCCTCTCATGTCAGTCTATCATCCCTCTGCTCCACTGACGGATCAATTTCAAGATCTTTTTCCTTGCAGTCAAATCCCTCCATTGCCTCACTTCTCTCTACCTCTACAACATCTTGCATCTCTATCACCCCAGCTGTGTCCTTGGATCAGCAAACACTGGCCTGTTTCATGCCCTACCATGGATGGGTGAGCTTTCAGCCATTATGCCTCTGCTGTCTGAAACTTCATCCTGGAGTCACTCCGACTTACCTGCTTCCCACTTTTAAAGCCTGTTTTAAGACTTACCTATTTAGAATCTTTGCATTTGATATAATACCTTATCATGCTTTGAGATGTCTCAAAACTCTTCACAGGACATATTTTAAAGTGGGGTGACCGCATTTTGTGGGTGAAATGTGGCAGCCAGTTTCGCACAGCGATGTCCCACAAACAGCCATGTAGTGCATGACCAATTTTATTTGGGGGATTGTTGGTCAGGACAGAAAAAGAGTAGGCAAATGGAACTGAAACGATTGCACTTCAAGGAGTCAGCACAGATATGATGGACCAAATGGTCTTCTCTTGTGTTGTACATTTCTATGGTTCATTCTCTGACAGAACAAAGAGAAATGAATTTTGAAAACTCGGCAAGTTCAGCATAGTGGAAATTTAACTTCTGGAACAGCTAGGCAGTCATAAGAGACAAGTATCCTTTATTTAGCGCGTGGGAATGAAACATTCAAGTGTATTTCCATTGATGGAATCAATCACACCAACTACTGAGCAGCAACTCTCAGAAGTACTACAATACAAGAAACTTCCAGTGTTTGATTCCCCAACCCCAAAAAACCATCAACTGTGAACGTTAAAACTATTGTCTTAAAATGTAAGATAGTGCAGGCCCAGGTAGCATCTCACAGACTGTTGTTAGTTCTCATTGTAGTACACTTAAACCCCGGCTTGATCTAATCTAATCTGTCGAACTGGAATTTCCACCTAAGTGAAATTACAATTCTGATACTGGCATTTACCTTTCTCCCCACGCCTCTGTTAGCAGTAAGTTAGCTGATTGGAGGATCGCTTTCTGGGGGTAATATTTGTTTAAAAACTCAATCCATGATTGTTTGTGGGACACTGCTGTGCACAATTGGCAACTGCGTTTCACCTACAAAATATACAATCAACTTGAAGCAGGAGAGTGCTCCTTTTTTGGATGGGTTATTGAAAATTAAGGATTATTCATCATCATTATTATAAATATAAATTGTAATAATAAAGATTATATAATTAAGGATCCCTTGACACTATTCAAAAGAGAAGGGAGTTTCTCCTTGAGTTCTGACCAACAATCCTCTAGATGAAATTGGTCATTAACTTCATGGCTTCTTTGTGAGACCTTAGTGCCACATAAAACGTACATAGTCAGTATATTTTACAGAATTGTATGAGGTGTTTTCAGACATTTATAGGCTCTGTATAAATGAAAGGACTGTTAACGCTACAAATGATTAGTGCTTTGAAGTTGTAAAGTTTTACAACCGCACTAATCTGTCAAGAATAAATTTTGTGTACGGAAACTTGAATCAAAATAATAATCCTGATACATTGTGGCATTGGAATTCATCTTCTCCAAAACATCTCATTCACTGGAACAGTTGAATTCATATTAGTCTTATGATGATTATTTGAAGATTAATTAAGTGGCCCTAATACAGTACCCATGTACTTATAATTAGAAGAAAACAGATTGTTGGTATCCAGCAATAATGTCCCCACTCTTTTCCTAACCCTCAATCTGTTCAACAGAATCAAAACAGCTTGCACTTGGATAGAGCCTTTGAAGTAGGATTAAGTGATCCCAAAGTGTTTGACAGATTGGCAGGCATGCTTTCAGCCTTTTTTTTAATTGGGTTATGAATGTCAGAAGAAGAATGAAGAGATTTTGGAAGAGATTCAGAGTAGTAGTTTCATGTTTCTTAGAGAAAATATAAAAGTATGTTCTCCACATGTAGATTTATATAGATTGCACAGCATGGAAATAGGCCATTCCGCTCAACCAGTGGATGCTGGTGTCTATACTCTACATGAGTTTCCACTCACTCCTTACTCCCTCTCCTCCCCTCTATTCCGTTCTCCCTCATTGGGACATCCTCCCGACGTGAAAGGCGCTTTACAACAATTTCTTGTTGTTACATCTCTTAAATGCATCCATATTGTCTGGTTCAACCACCACTTCAAGCAGCAAGTTCCATATTCTCACCACCCTCTGCATAAAATAGTTCCTCCTAAATTCTCTTTCAGATTCCCTACTTAATTGTAGAAAAATTATGTCCATTGCATTAGAACAAACCGCATGCCAATGTGCAACCAAAATTCTACAACCATAACACTTAGTGTAGAAAAATATTTATTATTAATCCCAAGTAATTACAAATCCAATTTGGCCATTTTAGACTGGTGTTTTATTCTCAATCTCTGTGCTCCGAATCTGTGAAACTTCTTGCCTAAATCTCTCCATTTTGCTCCCTCTTTGTCCATCTACAAATCACACCTGAAGACTTTCCTCTTCGATCATGCCTTTGGTCACCTCCCCTCTCTTTCCAGCTTGATGTCGAGCCACACCACTGTTAAACTCCCCAAGATGTGATCCGGGTGACGGTCATTGTATAAATGCAAATTGTTGCGGTTGTTTGTCACCTACAAATACAGTCACTACAATTTATCTCTGTGAGATAAATTTATCTACAATTTACCTATGATGTGTTTTGAGATATTTGGCATTGTAGGTGCTGTATCGAATGCGAGCATCATTATTATCTTTAATTGTACAGAATGACAAAAAAATTCTGATCATATTTTATGAATAATTGGAAGGGTTTATTTAAAAATTAATTTTTTTGGGGGGGCGGCAAAGTACTTCATTCAGTATTAAAATGTGTCATGAATTGTGAGACTGGTAAACTTAGAATGGATATGACAAAAATAAGATTAAAAGTTAACCCGACTGGAAAATTGTGGTTAAGGAATGATGTGGTTGCTCCATGGATTACTCAATTAGAGAATTAGCTATTGAGCTTTCCAGGGAGGTGTTATGTTACATGACTATGAAAGAATGGTTTGCTCCTGAAGGAAACACTCATTTTCTTGTTATGCTAGGATTTTCTCTTTGAAATTAGAGTAAAATTGTCCTGTCATCTCCATTTACAATACAATTACAGTACAATACAGATTTATTACAGTGCTTTTCACACTAGGATGATGTCTCAAACTTGAGCTAGGGGTGGGAGCCGAGGGGAATAGGAAAGATGAACAAAAGGTATGGTTAAAGAGGTATTTTTGAGCCAGAGGGAGTAAGTTGAGCTGGAGGGATTCTAGGATGGAGTTATAGGCAATAGAGGTAGAATGGCTACAAACCTGCCCACCGATGTGAGGCAGACAACGAGGCAGACATAACATGGGCCAGGATTCACAGAGCAAAGGGAGCACCTGGGTCTGCAGTGTTGTAGTAGCTCGCAGAGCAAGGTGTTGGGATCAGGAAGGGTGGAGGGCAGGAAGGGTAAGGGTAGGAGTGAGGCTGCATGCGAGGTTGAAGAGGAGGGTCTTGAGATGTGCTTTGAAGG